AAAAAAAAAACAAAACAAAACAAAAATACAAAAATATTTAGCTTTACGAGGGTTAGGCCTACCCTAAAATTAAGGATCGCTCGAGCTCGACACGTGATATCGAAATGGGCGAAATCGCCTCTTGATGTCACTAACTACCTTGAATTGATTTTCTGCATGATATTTGGCAGAATTACAATCAAATTCGGTAATTTCAATTTGGAAAATTATCTTTTTTTATTTCGTCAGACTGATTCATGAAGGCGAGGCCAGTTCTCCATGCAGTCCTTCATGAAAGGTTCAAATTGATATACATCGACATCGATGAATGCCAGATAATTATCACATGGATGACATGGTCTATGGACTTACTAGGAACGCGGAAACGATTAAGTCAATTTTGAAACGGAAAACGTTCGGAAAACCTATATTTTCAAATATAATTCATAATATATCTTCTATCACGTATCTTTAGAAAACAGTATACCTAGGAAAATCTATTTACCAGTGAAGCAGTACGGAACAAAACCATTATTGAACGTCCTGTTGCCAGTTAAATTCATCCTGTATTTTATACAAAAGTAGATAACGATAACCTTTTAATGACACTGGCTTCGCTCTGATCGCGGCCCAGAATTTGGATAAATAAAAGGGAAAAGAATAAGCCATATTACCCCAAGAAGATGAGGTTCTTGCTTCAGTAAGTTTTTTTTTTTGGGGGGGGGGGGGGGGAGAATGTACTTTAAAGCCAAAAAAGAAAGCAGGTATAATTTAGCGCATCACATTCAAAATGAAAACTTTAGAGACCCTTATTCCACTGTAAAATTTCCGATGATTCCATTTCATGTGTTTACAATACGGTGACATGAAATTTATTATTATTAATAAGCACTTCTAAAGAAAATAATATAACTGTATATTATGTGAAACTCACCCGAGGTTCTCGGTATTGCTTGTCGAAACAGTATATTAGTGCAGGGACCTTGAGAATCAAGATCGGTCCGAGGACAGCAACGGCCAGGAGTTCGCACTCCTCGATGGGCAGCATCATGATGAAGCAACTGACCATGCCGACGAGACCAAAGAGCCAGATGCCCAGAAGGACTATGGAACAGGTCTTGCGTTTCCAGTGATATCTCCTCCATGCCTCGTAGTCGTCAGCCTCCATCCTCCAGATTTCGAATCCCCGGGTATTTTCATTGTCTTTCTGTCGCACAAAACCATGTAGAATTTGCTGATCCTTGGGGATAATGTAGATAAGAGGAGAATCTCCGATGAGAATTACGTGCCGAGTCAGGGACTATAGTGCGAGCGATCGCCTCCCTTTGGCAGAAGTCACGTTTCCCAGGTTTTTGTACATGTGGTTCAAAGTAATCCTCTAAGAGTAATGTACGGTATATAATCAACTTCTTTTGCTACCTTCACCATTCATAGTTTCCCGTATTGTTACAGGAAATACAGATCTTCTATTCAAGTTAAAGAAGGAAGTTTTGTTCACATCGACACCTGCATGCTTTTGTCACTGTAGTTCGACAGAAATCCCAACTCCGCCACGCGGAAAACTGCATCACTCATGGAACTCGACAATATTGTTTTGCTGGTGAGTGTTCCTTATTGCGGTTGAGCTAATGCCTTGACTTTTCCCAAGGATGGAGGAAGTCAAGCGGATCGCTTGGGACAGAGACTGATATCATTTTAGTGCTTCCTTTTTAAATAAAAATGAGACCACGAAAAGATTCATCCGGTCTGTGCCAGTCTCACACATCAATATCAGCAGAAAGAATATCTATCTGATCACACATAGAAGTCACATGCAGATAGAGATGGAGTTATATTCAAATGCATATGTCAAATACTTTTTTTAAAAGAACCTTTGACCTCTAAAAAGAAGTTTACCCCAATATTGTTATTCAAATTGTGTTCTACACTTACGGAGAATAAGCTTTTAGGCAATTCCCAGAAGTTCTTGTTAGGAGGAAATGTTTCACAGATGACCCCGAAACTCGTTTGAGAAGTATGACAATTATTTAATTCACAGATACATCACGTTTCATATATAGGCCTACACTAGTTCTTACACCACTTCTCATCGATACCACTTTTCGGGAATGTTTCAATGATAATTTTTCATTCAAATTCTCAAATTCTCAATTTTCAAATTCTCCCACTCTTAACACTTCATATGATAATTTTTCATATGAAGTGTTAAGAGTGGGAGAATTTCGAAGTGGTTCATGAATTGTCCAATCACTTTATCTGCATTGAAACCCGATCTAAGAGACATTTGGGAGGTGAGCGTGAAGAGCGTAGCCGATTGACGCCTCGTGAGGGAGATGAAGCCCAAGAAGACAAGGAGCTGCCCTGTTTGCTTGCAGCGACTTGGACTCTCCCTTGAAAAAGTCCAAGTGTGAGTGTGGTGAAGGTCAGGGTTTCGAGGATGACTTACTCTTGTAAGGGCTGAAGGAGTTGGCTTTGACGAGTAATCAAAGGAGGATGAAGTAGGTCAACGTCTCGGACTTCAGAGAAACTTCGTACACTAACACATTGCCTTTTATTTCCTGAAAATGATGAAGCCATTCATCATATATCAAATGTGGTAGTACAAAACTTATTTTTCACCCGCTTTTCCCCTTATTCAACCCTGTCCCCTAGAGGACTACCTAACGTTACGCTTAAGTCTAACTCACGAACCTTAGGTCAGGCGTAGGCTTATAATTTCTTGTTCCAAGCAATCTGAACCCTAGACTTATGTGACCAATCAGGCGGATAGGTGTCTATGTCCGTGTTTTCGAGGCATCCCGATAAGGCAATGAAAGCCATAAGGCATTTCGGTAGAGCTAGAATCTGAGAACTTAAGTATATTCAAAATGGCTAACACAGAATTATATCTTCTAAAAGGCCTGGTCCTATCTGGCTGATCCAAACTAGATGATACGAGCGATGTCATCGGTAATGAAGGTCGAAATAACGTTAGGAATTCCTAGAAGGAATTCCCATTCACCATGTGAAGCCTACCGAGAATTATTGAAGCCCCTTTCTGCATCCCATTCACAGTCCAACACCCCCCATCAGCCACTTTCAGCCCCAAGGTTCACATGCCACTCACCTCGAGAGGCAGATCGTGTCACCCAATCGGGAATGGATCCATTCGATCGTACACTACTTATACTGTCTCGTTGGGACGTACCCACTGCCTATCGTGAGCCTGCAGTCCTTTAACTGGGCCGGTCCCGTCGCCCAGGAATTTCTGGAAACCGCGGATGCGATTCGGGAGAGGGGATGTATCAGTACCCGTCAAGTCACGCGCATGGCATTTGGGAAAGTCACGCGTATGGCATTTGCGCGAGTCACGCGCGTGCCACAACAGCTGCATTCTCATCTATTTGTCCTCCGTGCTTCCCCTAGCCACTTCCTTCACTTCCCAGGTGGCGCAAGTACAAGTCCCTTTTTTCCCGTCCTCGTTAAACTTTAGTCAAAGATTGAGATCAGTAGTAAACAAGGGGGGGGGACTCGAGGGGTAAAGGAGAATGCAGGAGATGCTGCTGCATGAGAAATGAGCAATACTGGGGGAAAGAGGAAATAGATTGGAAAAAAGGCAAAATAATAAGCATAAGGAAAATCAATTAAAAACAAAAGGGAAAAAAAGGAGAGAAGCTAAGAGAGCCGAAAATGAATAAAGAAATGAAACCAAACGAAAAAACAAAATAAGCTAGACTACAAACCATATGGGTGAGAGCGAGGAAGGGTTGTTTTCGTGACCCTTTGTTCGTTCAGAATCTGGGTCTTGCACATACCGTGAAACTTCATAGTTATCCATGTGGGACGATTTTCTGAGCAACACATCTACCCGCACAGGCCAAGAAGTGCTTTCTCTTCAGAATGCTAAGTTGTCCATCCAAAATGTATTGGTTTGTGACGTCAGCACCGAAGATGCCCTTACGGGAACTCCATATTCAGATTTCGTGGGAATTATCAAATATGGCCTTAACAGGGGTGCTTAGCTCGGAATGTGCATTGTACAAATAAAGATTACAAGTGGGAGACTGTATTTGGAAGCCGTCCAGACCATATCATGTTTTGGCCATTCTTAATGAATATGGAACTATAGATGGTTCATATACAAGCCCTGTATATGGTGCTTAGTTACAATGTACATGGCACTTAAAAATATTTGGCATGCTTTTGTCATATTTAATATAATAGATATTTGCAACTATATATTCTTAATCTGCAATAAAGATGCCCCCCGCATGCATTATTAACTGGAGATTGAAGCAGAGGCTCAGAGGCAGTCACTTGACAATGGAACTTAAAATGGGTTTTTGTGACTCACGTCACAAGGGGAACCTCACTCATTAAATGCATCGGGCAAGAATTGCCTAGCGCCTCCTGAAGCTAGGTTACGTCTCTCAACATATTCATTGATTAGAACGACTTCCTTCCTTCGGTTTGTACGTGGGAAATTATCGAGTTGAGTGTGAAAGCTTCTGCAGAATCATTCACTAGCATTTGAGGAATCGGGAGACATATAGCGGCGGGATGAGCGCGATCTCGCTAATATTGAGAGAACTGTTTATTTCTTGAACGAACTGCAAGATGTCAGGTCATATGGAAGGCCTCAATGTGCATGCTTGTGTATCCATGGAGAGTACATGGGCTGAACAGTTTCCAAATACATTCCAAATACAGTCTTTTTCAGTACAGTTTATATTAGTGTCATATACGTTGCAAACCTAGCACCATATTTGGGGGTCTACATATGAACCATATATAGTTCCACATTTATTAGGAATGGCCAAAACATGATACGGACTGAACTATTTCCAAACAAGGCTAAATTCAGTACTGTACACTCCTATACATACGCCTGTACTAGTATTTGGAAATTCCGTAAGGGAGGTTACTTCGTAACTCTGAACCAGATCAGTCTGCTGGAACTCAGGCTAGGAAAAGTGAGCATTATTGGTTGTCACCTTCAAATCAGACGCCTTGGATGACATGTTGACAATTCTTGGCTCCACGCTTCGCTCAGGTTCCGGACGATGCACGTGAAACGTGGGTGTGCGATTGCACTGGAGGGGATGGATGATCGTGGAATTCACGAGGAAGTTTGAAGCCACAGCTCTTCTGGCCCTGGACCGAGATTCTCGAATAACCACATTTGGGGACCCATGGCGGGATTCCTTGTCATGGCGATGCACAGTGGTACGAAAGTCCGAAATTCTTGGACAAAAGTCAAATTTTGAAAATGGAGGAATGAAACATTTTTTGCCGTTAAAAGTTACAGATTGAAGTCCTTCTTCTGCATCGATATTTCTCCAGGCCTTCCTCTGGTCCTTTATAAGCCTTTACGTGGTGCAAAGGTCAATGATTTGAACTTTTCTTAAAATATAAAGACTTAATGCGAAATTGTGACAAAAGTTTGTCATGAAATACGACTGTTCTTGTCGCTGTTTTTTCATCAAGTGCGATCTGAAGGTGTACCTGTAGGTGAGTCTTGCTTGTTGTATGTATAGTTTTACTCCTGATGTATATGCATAACTCATGTTATTTATTAGATCCTGTGCAGTCGATTGATGAACTACTTCTAGTGACAAGGTAAATTTATCGAGTGAATTTGAAATACTTCTCAAGATTTCTCAGTGAATTCCTTATAGGCCAATGATAATCTATTAATGAAGAACAAAATCGACCCAAAATCTCCTGCGCCCAACTGCGCCTAAAGTGAGGAAAAATTTTCAGATTTTTTATCTCGCAATTTCTCCAGGATAGATGCCAATGCCTTTGACCCGAAAGGACCTCTACAACATCACGAGGCAGATGAACCGAGCTGACCCTGCTGACTCAAGTGTCATTCCTGTGTTGGTCAAGCTCATTCAAGCCAACTACAAAATAAGCCAGGATTTTCATGAATAAGGGCCATGTCAATTATTAAAAAGTGCCGAGCTTCAGAAGACTTGCCTTGGTTCTTCGGGCTAAGTCTTCCAGAAAGGCCGAGAGGTTTTCAGACAACGATGTCAATTGGCTGGAAGAGTTCTTCAAAAAATTTTCCTCACTTTAGGCGCAGCTGGGCGCAGGAGATTTTGAGCTGATTTTGTTCTTCATTAATAGATTATCATTGGCCTATAAGGAATTCTCTGAGAAATCTTGAGAAGTATTTCACATTCACTCGATAAATTTACTTTGTCATTAGAAGTAGTTCATCAATCGACCACACAGGATCTAATAAATGACATGAGTTATGCATATACATCAGGAGTAAAACTATACATACAACAAGCAAGACTCACCTTCGGGTACACCTTCAGATCGCACTTGATGAAAAAACAGCGACAAGAACAGTCGTATTTCATGACAAACTTTTGTCACAATTTCGCATTAAATCTCTATATTTTAAGAAAAGTGCAAATTATTGACCTTTGCACCACGTAAAGGCTTATAAAGGACCAGAGGAAGGCCTGGAGAAATATCGATGCAGGACAAGGACTTCAATCCGTAACTTTTAACGACAAAAAAATTTTCATTCCTCCATTCACAAAATTTGACTTTTGTCCAAGAATTTCGGACATTCGTACCACTGTGCGATGGGAGATTCGTCCGTTGATTTTGCATTTGCATTTGCTCCGGCATTCCAGGGCATAGCCACCTGCCAGGCGTCGATCCAAGCATAACTGTGAGTCATGCCTGGCACACAAAATCTATTCGAGATTTCCAGATATAGCTGTTGCAAAATTCCTGTCTCCAAGAAAAGCGTTCGCTATTTAGCACCTATTATATGCATTTCCCCTGGAATAAAGCTGCATTATCAGATAGTTCTCTGCTCAAAAATCCATCATTAGAATCATGAACGTTACAATAAAATTCCCGAGGGCAGACCTTAAGGTCATCATCTAAACCATTCCACTTTGCCCCATACCCGGGGCTAAGTGGAGTGCGTCCTGGATCATAATGGAACAAAAATGAAAAGTCTCAACCATTGCATTTGAATTCCATTTTTTTCGTGTAGAAGGCCTTTTCCCAGACTTACCTTCTTTGCAATAGTTCTCTATGGAGGGAAAAAGTAATGCTACCGATATGTTCAATTTATTGTTAGCAAAGTGAAAGCCAGAAGTTGCCCGTTGATAATTGTTTTAAGTTAAATTTTTGGAAGTTTCATGGGTCTATCACTTCCAAGTGTGTCAAAGATATATGCCTTCAACCCAGAAGTAAAATAAAATTTACACTTAATATTGACACAATTGAAATTTCATACATCTCCCCACCAATTTTAGGAAAATTTGTCGGAACAAGTTAAATTTCAACTATTGTTCGACATTTTCAGATGAAAAGATTGGGATGTTACCTTCTATGGGCTTGAGGCCGTTTTTAGGCCGAAGGCTGAATCTTTGATGCCGTTATTTTTCTTTTGCAGCCAGGTCGACTTTGTCCCGGCAAGCAACCGATTGTGACGCAGAATAATATTAATTAGTGGTACCTGTATATTTAAGAACATTTTATTTTCTGTAGCCAAATGCTTGGACTAGAATGGACTAGAATGGACTAGAAATTAGTTTGGGAGACATCTAATCATAGTGAACACACTACAGCCACCAATCTTGACTGAAATCAGGAGGATCGAAATAGAAGACGGAATCGAGTTTGACCCCCAGAGTATCCAGGCTGTTGGTGCACGCCCCTGTCTCCAGCCTTCTCAGTTCTGGACAGTGCTTCTCCAAACACCTTAACGTCACCTTCGTTACACCCAAACATTCCTGAAAAACGGAATAATCGAGAACTCTTTCAAAGGAACTCAATGTATCTAGCAAGAGCGCGCAACCAACCCGGGCGGAGAATCCTTGTAGACGAGGTGTGTGGTGGAGCAGCCGGACGAGGCCCTCGTCGGACGTCTGAGGGCAACCCAATAGGTCCAGGCATCTCAGAGACTTCACCTTGGGTAACTCACTCAAGTGCACCAGGCTCATATTACTGATCTAAAAGAGGGTGGACGGGTGGAGCAAATGAGTACGCCATGATGAAGTCCGTACTCTCAAAATCTCGTAACTAAAATAAGAGCAGGATGCACTTATGTCTGAAACAACACCCTTTTTAATATGTATTCTTCTTGCTACTAATTTTAATCAACAGGCATTGGTTGTACCTGTTCTCGTTCAGTAACTAGTCCCCATTATCAAATTCCATCGCCTAGTACTCCTTACTGAGAGCAGCTAAAGAAACAAAACTATATATATGTTTCTTACCCTCTCAATATTGAGTCGATCCAGGAAATTTTGAGGGAAGGGGTTCAAGAAGAGGGAAAGACTATGAAAAGGATTTCTACGAGACTTCAGTTGAGAATTGACCTAATCTTTTTTTGACACTGAAAGACAATGTGTTTGAGGTGAAATTAATTGAAAAGGTGCATGAAATTCGTGTCGCATTGTAAATCTTTAAGTTTTCAGAAAGACATAGCGTTATGTTTTCGCATCTAATATATATAGACGATCGTGACTGAATGACTGACTGACGCTAATTCTAACGATGTTCTAGAATGGGTGCGTCGGCTATTCTAAACATGTTTTTTCACCAGCGAAAAGGGCAAACGTATAATATTCAAACGTTGTGGGCATGTAGTTCATTGAGGATGGATTTCGGTAAAAAAGAAAAGGTACGTTCGGTTAAAACGGCTCAGGGCACATATTTTGCAAAAGGCATATGTTCACGAATTTTCTAATCCAGCAAAATAGAGGGCGCATGAAAGTTAAAAAACATGGGAAATAAGTATCTGATGCATAGCTGCATGAAGAAAAAATTATTTTATTATATATGGACGGTAGTAGCTGACTGATTCACATAAGTAGCCATTCGCATGCTGAGTTCAGGAAAAGTTCTATTTTTATGTTACATGCCATAGGGGCACACCTTTAGAGGAACATATTTTTAAATAGTTCTCATTGCGAAGAAAAAAAAGAAGAAGAAATAATTCTCAAACGAAGACAAATGGAAAGCTGAAACTTGGCAAGAACGTGACCATGAACGCGCTCATCTCAAATGTTAAACGTCAAATTTCCAAAATAGTTTGGGGTTCATATTTCTTCCGGACGTAACGTTTTCAAATAATTTGTTATATCCTACCGAATCGGGCGGAAATAGAAAAGTAGGTAGCGCATGCATAACAGACGCAATGCTGAATTAAGGAGAAGTTAAACTTTTTTTGCGTCTGCCCAGAGCACAGCTTTTGGGTGGGTCGCTTTTCCAACTAAATTTTTTCTGCCAACAAAAAGGGAAAACGTATCAGGCTGAAACTGGGTGGCATGGAGTTCCCTGAGTCTCCATTTCAGAAGAACAATTTTATTTTTTAGCTAAAACCTATCAGGGCACTTTCTTTTAAGTTACGTTTTCCTGAATTTTTTTTTGATCCAACGAAACAGAGACAGAAAATTGAAACTGCCCTCAGAAGTACCTGTTTGATTGCTGAGTACAGGTACAGGTAGAGTAATGATTTTGATGAAAATCAAGACTTTCGACCCCATATGTCACGTATTTCAATGGGGACGGACTTTAAATACGTGTTTCCCATACTGACTGACGCTAATTCTAACCAGGTTCTAGAAAGGTTAGAAATCTGAAACTTGGTACACATGTTCCTTATGGCTTGTACAGTTCAGAAAAAATCCGACTTTGAAGGTACATGCCCTGGGGGTATACATTTTGGGGGAACCTTTTTTTAAAAATATATTTTGTGACAGATGAGGATGGCATTCATAGAGCCTACAGAAGGTGCTGGAAAAGGGAGTGTCGTAGTAGCATCTCTAGCTGGCAGTCAAGAGGTCGGGGTTCAATTCCTGGCCATTCCTCGGTTTTATTTTGGCTTTTTTTTGCCTTCCATGTCCCATTACTAACTACCCCCCATTGCATTATTTTTGCTCGAATAGAGCGAAGAGACATGGAAAGCTAAAATCTGGCATGGAGGTGTCTACCGAGACGATGAGAGGAAAATTGAAAAATTTTTTATCCATGCCGTGGGGGATATTTCTTTGGGCCGACGTTTCATGTATTTTTTTTTGTCCTGGCGTATTGAGCTAGTGTGAAAGAAGATGAGACTTGGTACATAACCACCCATTGGGATGCAGCAGACAAATGCAGACTTTGGAAGTAAATGTCCGGGGGGCACACATTTCAAAGGGAGATATTTTCAACTAAGTTTTTTGCATCAGTTAAACTGTTGAACGTGACAAGCTGAAGACAAGGAGTTAAATGAATATGTTAAGTCTCGCTACATCCCGTGGGGGAATTTTTTCGAGGTGCGATGCTTAAAAAAAGTTGGTCGGGGCGAATTGGAAAGAAAAGGAAAGGTGAAATTTGGCACACGTATAAGTGACATATTACTAAGCTGATGGAGTATTCAGCTTTCATGGCGCATCCCCTCTGGGCATAGCATTTGGGTGGGTCGGCTTTTCGAAACATGTTTTTTCATCAGCGAAAAGGGCAAACGTAAAATATTGAAATGTTGTGGGCATATAGTTCACAGAGGATGGATTTAGGAAAAATGGTTCGTTTTGGTTAAAACGGTTAAAGGCACATGTTCTGCAAAAGGCTTATTTTCCCGAATTTTCTGATACAGCAAAACAAAGGTTAAAAACTTGGCAAATAAGCAAGTGTGGAAAGATGAAGCTTGGTACATAATTACCTACCGGGATGCTGTGTGCAGAAATATTCAGACTTTGGAATGAAATGCCCTGGGGGCATGAATTTCAAAGGGAGTTGTTTTCATATTTCTCAGTTCATACTCATTTCCAACTGAAAATGAGTATGAACTGAGTATGACTATGAACTTCAACCGGAAGTTGAAGCCTCCGCCACTAGCGTAGAGGCCAGTACAGCATACATCACTGCCATCTACGTTTCCAACTAAAATCCACGTCGAATCGACGTATCTGTGCCACACGGGATGTGACATCGAAATGGATGTAACCACCTCTTGATATCCATAACTACATTCATACCTTTATATATTGATACCTTAATCATGCAAGTAATGACAAAAGCAGGCACACCACATTCCTAAACATGTTCCTTGCCACCATGATGAAAGCTCATGAAACCAGTTCAACCAAAGATATTCAACCAAAAAGAACGGGTGAAACTGGGCTAACCTAATCCAACCTAACATATCTTTCTTCAAATACTCAGATATGAAAAAGAATCATATTGTTAGGTTTCACTAGAAACTCCCTTTCAAAATATATGCATTTCATTCAAATCAGTTTAAGGCCAAAAATGGGCTAACCTAACCTACTCTAACTTTTTCAAAATGCTCAGATTTCAAAGAAAATTATATTCTTGGGTTTGGCTAAGAAAGCCCTCTCTGAATATGCACATACATCTGAAATCCGTTTAAGGGCCGTAACTGGCCATACTCCTTTAACGCTACGTATATATATGGCTCGCCTGCATAGTAGGAGTTGTTATGGCATTATACCAATCTTTCGCTGAAAAAGGAAATCACTGAAAGAAAATTATTAGCGTATGCTCGTCAACCTTTGAGCGCTGTGCACATGCCACGTCAGAAGTATGCCTTTATATGATAAGATTTTCTCCATGTCATATGTAAATTGCACATTTCCCTTGATAAAATACAAGTTGATGAAACTATGCATGTCATACCATCTCTGTAAAAAACAAACATGAGAAATGTACCAAAGTTTACTCGAAAACGCAGTTACAGAGCAACAGGCAATTGGAATGATTCCTGCAAATTATGGTGTAACGCAGCAGGAATTTCTGCGGGGATTTAGATGTTCTCGTGTGGGCTATACCTGATTTAATCATCTCTTCATCATACCCAGCAAAACACGACTTTCAGAATAACTATATCCCTCAAGATAAAGTGTCCTGACAGTTCTTTCCAAGAGGGTCAAAGAGGGCGTAACCCTAGTAGCACAAAACATTGAAACAACATTGATTCAACGTTGATTCTACATCCGGACGAGGAACCAACATTGAATCAATGCTGATTCAATGTTATGTGCTTCTGGGGAACTTTCCTTTGTGTTACACCCTCTGGAAGCATTTTAATCACTCAAGGGAGATCTTGCCACACGGTCGGGAACGGATCCATCCTAACGTTCACTATCGTCGGGATGGGTCCAAGGAACACCTCGAGCCTCCAGGCCTCGAACTGAGGCTGTCCCTTCGTCCAGGAGTTTCTGAGAACCGTAGAAGCGATTCTGACGAGGGGGTGCAACTATCTACGCCGAGTCACGTGCGTGCCACTAGTGCGAGTCACGCGCGTGCTGCAGCCATATCAGCCGCATTTCTATCTACCTGTCCCACGCGCTACTCCAAGCCATTTCCTTCTCTTCTCAGATGACGCCCGTCACTTTTTCCCAGATTCTCAAGAGAATTTTGTACAGGATCCGACTATTCGATACGATTCGACTTCCTTGCTTTGACTTTTGAAAATGTCATCTCGATGAATGCATCGTTCTCATGACGAAATTCTAATCTTTACCTTCGGAAAGTTCGAGGTCACACTCGTTCGGGCAGGTTCTCCCGATAGCAATCTGTGACAAACTCTGTGAGCGTCTTGAGTGCCTCGTCCTGATTTCCGAAGACAGATAGCAATTTTGAATGAACCCTGAGCAATTTTGATTTGGTTTTTATTAATTCGTCTTTCATTCAAAACGCATCAAACTAATCCAACAGAAAATAATTGCAGTTGTTATGTTTGGCCTGGAGGAAATGTAATAGGCGCAACCGCGCCTATTGATATTAACTGATAGAAGCAAAACATACCAACATTCATGACGAACCAGATAATTAAATATGCAAATGCGTAATTGTAGCGAATGCAGGCATTCTCCAGCACCGTAACGCATTTGGGTCTTTCCACTTCAAATCAATTCTGCCCTTTACCTGACCCTCCTCCAATTTCCATGAAATTCGCTGAACTAGAGGGTTGAGAATGAAAAATCCTCAACTGCTTGAGATTCTGGGGA